GTATACTCGGTATTTCTTCTTTAAATATATTACTATTCAGAATACTTAATTTTGGGCCAGCCTCTGGCCTGATGATTAAGGTGACTGGATCCGATATGGCTGACTGCATAGTTCAAATTCTAGACCTATCCTCTTGAAGAACACTCTTGGTGCATGTACATATGTGCTCAAATCCCAAAACCAGGAAGGAATGGTTGAATAAGGATTACAGCAAGGCCATGCCCCTTGAGGACTGCTTTCTCACTTTCTGTTTCTCTCTTTCTCTATTACTCTGTCTTCCTGGCAGTGCACATGCACTTTATGGCAAATGGGGGGGGGGTCCTTTTTGACAATTAAAATGTGACAAATTAGAAAAAGTACTTTTTATGAGAAATCATTGTTTAATTTTTATAATGAAATGGGTATGTGTATGTATCTCTATATATAGATATAGATACGTATATATGTGTGTGTGTGTGTGTATATATATATATATATAGAGAGAGAGAGAGAGAGAGAGAGAGAGAGAGAGAGAGAGAGAGAGAGAGAGAGAGAGAGAGAGAGAGAGAGAGAGAGAGAGAGAGAGAGAGAGAGAGAGAGAGAGAGAGAGAGAGAGAGAGAGAGAGAGAGAGAGAGAGAGAGAGAGAGAGAGAGAGAGAGAGAGAGAGAGAGAGAGAGAGAGAGAGAGAGAGAGAGAGAGAGAGAGAGAGAGAGAGAGAGAGAGAGAGAGAGAGAGAGAGAGAGAGAGAGAGAGAGAGAGAGAGAGAGAGAGAGAGAGAGAGAGAGAGAGAGAGAGAGAGAGAGAGAGAGAGAGAGAGAGAGAGAGAGAGAGAGAGAGAGAGAGAGAGAGAGAGAGAGAGAGAGAGAGAGAGAGAGAGAGAGAGAGAGAGAGAGAGAGAGAGAGAGAGAGAGAGAGAGAGAGAGAGAGAGAGAGAGAGAGAGAGAGAGAGAGAGAGAGAGAGAGAGAGAGAGAGAGAGAGAGAGAGAGAGAGAGAGAGAGAGAGAGAGAGAGAGAGAGAGAGAGAGAGAGAGAGAGAGAGAGAGAGAGAGAGAGAGAGAGAGAGAGAGAGAGAGAGAGAGAGAGAGAGAGAGAGAGAGAGAGAGAGAGAGAGAGAGAGAGAGAGAGAGAGAGAGAGAGAGAGAGAGAGAGAGAGAGAGAGAGAGAGAGAGAGAGAGAGAGAGAGAGAGAGAGAGAGAGAGAGAGAGAGAGAGAGAGAGAGAGAGAGAGAGAGAGAGAGAGAGAGAGAGAGAGAGAGAGAGAGAGAGAGAGAGAGAGAGAGAGAGAGAGAGAGAGAGAGAGAGAGAGAGAGAGAGAGAGAGAGAGAGAGAGAGAGAGAGAGAGAGAGAGAGAGAGAGAGAGAGAGAGAGAGAGAGAGAGAGAGAGAGAGAGAGAGAGAGAGAGAGAGAGAGAGAGAGAGAGAGAGAGAGAGAGAGAGAGAGAGAGAGAGAGAGAGAGAGAGAGAGAGAGAGAGAGAGAGAGAGAGAGAGAGAGAGAGAGAGAGAGAGAGAGAGAGAGAGAGAGAGAGAGAGAGAGAGAGAGAGAGAGAGAGAGAGAGAGAGAGAGAGAGAGAGAGAGAGAGAGAGAGAGAGAGAGAAATGTCCTGACAAGTTTTTCTGCACCTTCTTTGCAAGTCTAACAACACAAATTAATGGAATATTTTCCTAGAGGAAATTTCGTGTTTAATATTGGGCTGATAACAAGGAAATCATTTGTAAGCAATCCTAGAAAGGCATTTTGAAAATAAAGTCTTTATCACTAGATCTAATAACATGGATCCAGAAGTTATAACATTTTATGGCCATAATGTTAGAAGCCCTGTTTAACATTCTTGAATCTTGTTAGTCCTGGACATTAAATTATTGAGGACTTTATAAACTGAAGCTAAGAAATAAAAATAAAAGTGGATAGACATGAATAGTATTCATTTGAACTCTGATGGGGACTGGGACATTTTTATTGAGTGGTAATGGCATATATTTTTTAAAGCTCTTAACAGTCTACTCTTTGGTAATTATAGGAAAATTCTGAGCAGAGTTTATTTCAGCTGACTTAGAGCTTTTCCAAAATGTAGGTTTTAAAAACATAAGTAAGCCTTTTTATTTATTTTTTTTCAATTTGCTATTTCCTCAGATGTTTGAGAAATATCAAATAGAAAGCAGCACACATTGGAAATCTGTGTTTTCTTCAAAAATGTGGGGAGAACATTACAAATATTCCATTATAATATTAATGTCAAGTATAAATTGAAATAAATGAGATAAGGGTGCTTAGTATACCTTTTACATATAGGATAAGGTGACATCATGTAGCATTCTATTACTATCTTGAGTTCTGGAGACTTTGTGTAAAATCCATCGAACTCGTTGTTTATGTACTTTTCTGTGTAATATGTATGTCAAAATTTACACTGAAAATAATGTATAAACTATCATATTAAGTGAACATCAAAATTTACCCGCCCTCATTTTCCATGTTCAAGATCATTGTTTTTTCATTATTGTTTTACATTAATTGCCCTATTAATTGAGCATTGTTTATATTTGTAAACATTGTACACTATAGCCTATTTTCCTTTAATAGAGAAAATGTCTAACTAGTCTTAGAATTTAGTATCAGAATTCAATTACTTTTTATTAGCTAGCTTAATTTTACAGTGCATAATCAAAGTTTAAGGGCATTCAATTTTAGCTGTTGCTCTGTAGCCCTTACCATTCCTGAAACTGTGTTTATTTTTGACGTAATGGAAGTAGTGAGAGTCTTCATGTTTTCTGTAGCTCTTTAAAAGCCTATTCTAGGGGCCAGCTGGTGTCTTGAAGGTTAAAGCAGCTCAATCCCATATAGCCAACTGCATGGTCTGAGTCTTGGATCAGAGGCCTGATAACCACACCAGGCAGGTGTGCATGCATGCCCAAATCCTGAGAGGAGAAAGGAAGAAAAAGGATTGCTGTGTGGCCATCCACGCTTGCGGGAGGTGGGGGTGCTTTGTCACTCCTTTGACCACCCTCAACCCCTGTGGTGAACACATGTGCCCTATAGTAAATTTAAAATAATAATAAAAAATTTACTCTACTAAAATACCTGTTTTCTCAGAAATACAAGCAACATCAATCATATTCTTAAGATTGACAGAAGCAAGAATCATTAGTTTTTTCCCCCAAACTCCCTTGTGTTTGACACAGTTGTATGGATAGAATGTTCTGAAAGGAGCATGTGCATTTGTGATGTCAATTGTCTTTTTAACCTTTGACTGACTGACCAAGTTAGAAAATACCTTCCCTCACCCTTCCAAACTTGATACCTGTTGAAGTGAAAACCTAACCATTTGAGGGAGGTTTTATGTTGTTTTAATATATTTTCTCAAGTACTTGGTTGCAATCCAATACTATCTAGTAATGTAATATAGAAAAGGTATACGATGTTATACATGTCATTTTCCATGTTCCAGTAAGGTTGTTGAGGGACCAGGAGATGGCATAATGCCTATGTCGCTGGACTCCCATGTAGTCAATCATGGTCCGAGTCCCAGACCCCGTGGCTTAAACTCATGCTGGGTATGTGTGCGTGTGTGCTCAAGATCCTGAGAGGAGAGGAATTGTCCACTGCAAAATATCCTGTAGAAGATATTTCTCTGTTGCTTCAATATATTGAGGTTGTGGGAAAAATTATGACTAATTTTTGCATAGAAAAATATGTTATGACTTTCCAGATGACCTAATATATAGTAATGTAGAATTTTAATGTGAAATATAACTTATTTTGGAAAATCCATGGTACTTCTGAGTTTTATTTATATAACATTTATCTAGATGATTAATAATAAAAACCCAGTTAGTTTATGCAATGACTACTTAAAGGTGCTCCACCTTCTTACTCCAAAACCTATTCCGGCTTCCTGTTCAGACCTCACCCCCAGGCAAGTCTCCACTTGTTCCTTATGCTTCTGTTCTGGCCAGGCCTGAGTTGCTCTTCCTCTGTTTTCCTTCAAGATCCACCTCAAATCTCACCATCCCACACTGGCCCCTGCCCCAACACATACACCTCCTCCCACCCCCACTCCCCTACTCCCCTACTCCCCATTCCCCACCCTCCACTCCCCAACTCCCCACTCCCTGTCAGAGCCAGTCCCGTTGTTCTTCCTCTTCTCTGTTCCTGTTCCACTCACCACATAACTAATACAGCCGTAGGCTTGGTCTGACATCATTTTTGCTTATGTGGCCCACTGGCATTTAAGGGCTCTGGTTTCTTGAGGTCAAGGCCATGTCCATGTCCATAGTGCCTCCCTGTTGAATAAAATTGACACCTTTGGGCAGGCTGGTCTTACAAGTGGCAATTTGTTTCAGGAAAGACATTTTCTCAAGAGTTTCCTGATTTAAAGTTTATAGTATTCTGAGTACTCAGGTATAATATAACTATATTTTTGGATAATTAATTACTTTTTTCCTTAGCTGCTACTTATTTGGTGATAAATGCCAAACCTTTTCCTTTGTAATGTTTTGGACTGGTACAGAATTTGATTAGGGATAAGAAACTGTTGGCTAAAAATAAGTTTATATTTTCTAAAGATTTTATTTGTTATGATTTTCTTTTATCACGGATAACTGAGAAATACTGTAAATTGTAGTGATGAAAAATGAGTCTAATTGGTGTATTGACTAAATTGCTAGTAAGCAGGAAATGCTACAAGAAAATATAATTAACATGGTAGTAGCTGGTTTAGATCAAGTTACATACTGCCTTAGTTTCATGAGTTTGGACCTTTGGCAAAATCATAGCAGAAAGTTTCAATTAAAATAAGCAAGATTCAATTAAACTTTACAGTGTCCTTGAAGAACTTAAAAAAATGCATTGAATTTACCTCTCACCATCTATTTTCTTGTTTTTGAGATATTTACCAGAAATGAAAAATATAGCCAATTATTTTTTTTCAGTTTCAGAAGCTAGTGGATAAAATCACAGTTGATTATTTTGACAATGTTTGAAAGGCTTTTGTTTTTTTGTTTTTTTCTCATTTGACATGCAGCAAGGACATATGGGCGAAGGAGAGGTAACATTACTGTTTCTAACTTTTCAATGTATCCGTTATATTTGGAGAGGATCGAGCTTGCTCCATTTTGAAGCTTTATGGGGAAGGGGAGAAGGGAAATAAAATGTAGCTTCGATCCCTATATATCTTCTGTGTTACAGTTAACATTTTAGACATTATAATTTGAAGAAGTTAATGAGCTCTAGAGAAATCAGAATGACAGGTTTTGGATTTGAATCAAAATGATTTCCCTATGCTAATTAGACACTCCATTTACTTATAGCTGAGGATTTACTTCCTTTTTTGTTGTTGTTTTCTTTTTGAAAAGAGTTTCTTAGAAAAAAAATGAAGAATCTTTAAGAAAGAAAATATAGTCAAACCAGGCTCAGAATACCTGATAATCCTGGAAGTTCAGTTATACTTAAATACCTTATGTCTACTTTTTTTTCCCCACAGTAAATAAGCCTAATAAGTTCACTTAAATGAGAGGAGCTAAATAAATAACTAATCCTATACGTTTCAAACATGAGGAAAGCTCTAGAAATTTTAGGGAATTTTAAAGAATTATTTCTAGAGGTGCCTGAATAAGCCTTATTTTTGTCATCTTTAATACAGTAGTTGTGACTTTTTACAAGAAAGATATTGAGATTTAAAATATAAGTGATTTTTGAAGATCATGGTTTTATGGTCTTTTTAGTGTGTATTTGACATACGGTGTTATAGGATGAGTTTGTAATAGATATGCTTGCTATTTGTGTTTAGTAATGAAAATCGAAAGCAAGTGGGCAACAAAAGAACATTGAAATGTTTCAATAAAGGAAGGACGCTTGAGATAGATTTCAGGAGAGTCCATTAGCAAATTCTCTATATTGTACCCAGAGCAAGCAGGAAGCCTGAAAAGTGATAAATAGTGCTTGGGAAGTTCTGCTGCTGTTGTAGCTCCACGTTTGCGAATGATGTAAAAGTTCTTATCTTGTTGTCAAGTAAAAACGGGAAGACTATTCCACACTTGGGCATCTCTGGTATTTTCCGCTTACATGTTCAGGATGATAGGATTTTTCAAACAGTAAATTTAATGACAAGCTTTTAGATTAACAATCTGGTAATACTCAGCTAATAATAATATATCTTTAGCATGCCTAAAAATCTTAAATTCTGCAAGACTACATATAGTTGTATAACTACAACTATTTAGTAGTCAAATAACTGCATTAAGTGGATTTAGATTATATCCTATTAATTAAGGTAAACTAAAATACATGCTCACTTTAAATATCAACTTGTACATTTTAAGCACATTCTTAGAGGAAATTGTTCACACACACACACTGCATTTATTGATAGTTTCTTTATTGTTTTAAAGAAATTTAAGTGATCCAGCATGTCGTAGCCAAATTGAGTCCATACTGGACATGTCATCTAGGTTGCCAGTGGCCATGGCAGTGCAGTCTGCTGCCAGCTGTATTCAAGGGTGCCCTCTCCCACTGTATTTCCATTGCCTCTCACTGAAGTTTCAGTGGGATACTTGAGCAGCCCTCATTTACCTATGTCCTTTCTCTCTGACTCAGTTGGGACCTTTAAGGTGGTAGGAATTCAAGAACATATCTAAGCAAGCCTGTTACCATTGAGAAAAATAAAAAGCCGTTTTATTGAATCTGCTGTTTGCCTTGTTTCTTGTGCATGATAATCAGTAGCAAGGAGCATTTTCTGTTAGCTCTTTTTCCTGCTTTTCTATTCCAGGTCAGTCATCACTGTTTCCAATGGAAGATGGATTCTTGGATGATGGTCGTGGGGATCAACCTCTTCATAGTGGCCTGGGTTCACCTCACTGCTTCACTCACCAGAAGGAACGATATTCTCGCAAAGTGTTTGTGGGCGGATTGCCTCCTGACATTGATGAAGGTATATTTAGAAAGGACTGATTATAGCAGGGTGCCCAGACTGCAGCACACAGGAAGAACCTCACAGATAGTTTTGCTGTGACAGTTATCCTTTCTGGTTTCAGGTATTCAGTCTCACTTGCATTGTTTTCTTGCCCTACTTTCTATCATAGTTTTTAGTATTAGGTCACAGAAGGAAGGGGAACAGGGCTGTGGGAACCTGCTGAAGTAAGGCTTTGGACTAGATGAAAAAGAACCATCACTGGGAAAGCTCAACAAGGGTTCTACTGTTGTGGGCAAACATAGGTGCCTACTGCCCTTTTGTCTGTGTGCTGCCTTGGCCAAATTCAATGACATATTTTTTTTTTTTATTTCTTCCCTGCCTTTTATGAGTGCTCCATAAATGTGTAGTTCATTATTATTTTTTTTAATTTAAAATCTTAGACTAAGTATGAAATTTTGAAAACTGTAGTTGTACTACAAGACAGGGGATCTTAAAAGTTATATAATGGGGCTAGCAGGTAGCATATTGGTTAAGGTGCTGGACTCTCACATGGCCAATCGTGGTTTGAGTTCCGGGCCCAATGACTCGGAACTCATGCTGGGCACTTGTGTGTGGATGCCCAAAATCCTGAGAGGAAAGTGGAAGAAAAGGGATTGCGGCATGACCATCCCTCCCGGGGGGTGATTTCTCAGTTTCTCTCTGTCTCTCTGGCAAGTTCATGGGCACTGTAGCAAAACTCTCTCCAAAGAAAGTTATTTCATTCAAAAAATACTTGCATGCCTTCTAAACACCATGTAATGAGCAAATGAAGCCCTCAAATCTTAGTTTCTAACTATATTTTGCCATTAAAGGGGATCAATAAATCTTGGAAAATATGGCTGATTCTAGAGCTGGGGCAGGGAAAGAACAAGATGAGCCTGGATATTTTCTTGAGTCAGAAAGTAAGGACATGCCAAAAGAATGATGGGATGATAAAGACAGGTCAGAAAGGCACTCCCTGGTCAAATCAGAAACAATTTGGGGGACAAATTGAGCATAAAAATAAATGAGAGCATTAGATCAAAATCTATTTAATACAATAGGTCCCTAGTGATATAAATAAATAAATGAATGAATAAATGGAATAGTATGAGAAGCTCTTCAGGACTGTGTGATACTAAATAGCAAATATAGGAGGAATGATGAAAATAGATAATCACCACTTGGCAACCATTATGGTAGATACAGGCATGAGTTTTCAGTGGATACCAAGGCTAATGGAACAGGATATTGGTGAATAACATAATTTCCCCCTGCAAAATACTGATCCAAATACAAAGGGAATATGTTTCTTTTGGTAGAGAAACAAGGGAGGTATCAATTTGACCAGGTGAACAAGAATACTCTGCTAAGTGGTATGATTAGATGACATAGCATCATTACAGTGGTATTCTTATCTGGAATGCATACCATGAGTCTGGTCATGAGGAAACAGTATAGATCCAGTTTGAGGGTCATTGCCTTAAATCAGTTCAGGTTACTGTAACAAAATACCATAGATTGGATAGTTTGTAAACAACAGAACTTTATAATAGTTCTGGAAACTAGGAGGTCCAAACTGAAAGTGCAAACAGATTTAGTGTCTAGTGAGTCCTTGCTTCCTCATACATGATCATCTTCTGACCATGTCCTCATCTGGTGGAAGGAGTGAGGGATCTCTCTAGGGCTTCCTTCATAAGGGATCTAATCCTACTGATAATTCCCCCCCCCCTCCCCCATTACCTAATCATCTACCAAAGTCCCACTTTCAAATATTCTCACACTGGGGAGTAAGTTTTAACATATGCACTTTGGGGGCTAAAGCATTCAGATTATGACTGTCATCCTAGCCAGATGAATTAAAAAAGATAGGAAAGAATGAGAAGCTATGCCAGATTGAAAAAGACGGATGTTCCAGGGGTGTTACAACAAAGTACACAGTATGTTCTGGATAGAGTTCTGCATCAGGAAGGCAAAAAGCGAGAGTGTTGGGTTAGGTAAAAGTTTGGATGGCATCTGTGAATTAGATAGTAGTGTTGTTATCGATGCTGATTTCCTGATTGGAAGGTGGTAAGGGAATGCCATTGCCTTGATCAGGTACCAACAGCCATGTTTGGGGATTATAGGGCATTTGTCAGAACAAGATGACAGAGGGAGGGATGGCTCATTGGAAGAATAGATTGATTTATGCATGCATACAGGTAAGAGAGAAAGGAGGAGAGGGAAGGAAGAAGATGTAAGGAAATGTGCAAAATTTAACAGTTGAGGAATCTAGATGAAGGAGATGCAGGAAGTCTTTGTACTGTTATTATAGATGGTAGATTAGAAACTTTAAAAACATTACTTCCAAAAAATCATTAAAACTTTTAAATCTACTTTTTGCTTTGTTTTTTATTAGATGAGATCACAGCTAGTTTTCGTCGCTTTGGCCCTTTGATTGTGGATTGGCCTCATAAAGCAGAGAGCAAATCCTATTTTCCTCCTAAAGGTAATTCTCAAGACTTAATTGTATAATTTAGTCTTATCTGATGTTTAGCCTTTTTATTACTATGTACCTTTACTGTAAACTATTTTATTGTTAAACGTAATGATTTCCCAAATGCATCTTTATAAAAAAGGTTTATTTAATGTATTTATTTATTTATTTTTAATTTGACCAGAGAGGGACAGAGTGAGAGAGAGAGAAAAAAAATAAAAAATAAAAGAGAGAGAAAGGGAAAGTAAGAAAGCAAACCACCAGGTCTGGGACTCAAACTGTGGTCAGCCATGTGGGAGTCCAGTGCCCTTAAATACCACACCAACTGCCAGTCCCCCAAATGCATCTCTAAAATTTCTATCTAATACACTCTTAATTCAAATTTAATTTTTTTGGAGAGGTTTTTGCTATAGGGTGTATGCATTCGCCAGAAGGACAGAGACAGACAGAGAGATAGAAAGCGAGAAATCACCCTCCGGGGGGAATAGCCAAGCCTCAATCCTTTCTCCTCCATTCTCCTCTCGGGATCTTGAGCACATGCACACACGTGCCTGGCATGAGTTTAAGCCACCGGGTCCGGGACTTGAACCATGGTTGATACGTGGGAGTCCAGTGACATAGCCATTACGCCAACTGCTGGTCCCATTTAAATTTAATTTTTATCTAAAAGATGTTTCAAGATACCATCAAAATGAACCATATATTAATATTTCAGATTATTGGTATGAATATTGTTTAACTTTGGTTTTGGTTTTGCTACTTTTTTCCCATTTTTAATTTATGCTTCCATTTTTCTGAAGAATTACCAAAAAGAGCATCTAAGCCTTTTTTATTTTT